ACTGACTTAATGACTAATTGATTAACTAGTAATGACTAGTTAAACTATTATGGCCAAACCATCACGCCAATAAACACAGTAATAAACACTGAAAGTCAAGATTAAACTGTGTATTATAGCGAACTGACAGGATTTTACTGTCTTTGATTTACCGTTTTGATCCACATCCTCAAGCACATAACTTAGTTCAGCTCCCGGTTTTACCGCTCATCAGTCGCTGCTCAATGTTGTTAGAACATACTTACCAGCGTGTTTTATATGTGTAGGCTATAAAAAAGTACACAGTGGATGCTTTTGCTTTATCGCTTGCAAATATAAGATTGTTAGGTCATACATACCCTGTAATATTAGAATAGGTACCCCTTAGTTTCAAAATACTTACAGTAGAAATAATTTGTAATTTTACAGATTATTACTCCTTTATTCCCCAAACTTCGTATATTGTTACCTTATACCTACACGGAGGTACTGAATAGGTACACGTAATTACAAAAAAGTTATGCTGTAAATTCTGTTTACTTACGCAGTACATTGCGGGTTGTAATCTAAAGCGTTACCCCATTTTTTATAAAACCGAAGGCTGATCTGTTCATTTAGATCAGTGTGTGTGAGTGTGTGTGAGAGAGAGAGAGAGAGGGGGGGGGAGAGAGAGATTCTTACATTCTAAATTTACAATAATATTTATGTTAATTTGAGGTCATGGAGCTCAGCACTGTATGTGTGTGAGTTTGTATTGTGTTGTAGGTTAGTGGTTGTATGTGATAGGAACACACACACACACACACACACACACACACAGTTTTGTTGTTCCAGTACAGCTGGTTGAATCCTGATGGACACCAGTGGCAGACACTTGCGTTAGTTTCATCATCTTATGAAACGCTGACAAACAGGAAGAGAAACCAGAGAGAATCATTTAGAAAGACAGAGGCTGAAGTCTCACAAGCGTCTCCTGACATCTCAACAGTCTCTCTGGCTTCTCCAGCGTCTCTTTCAGGGGCCTTCAACATCGACACTGAACATCCACTGAGATTTAACGGCACGCCGGAAGATTTCTTTGGTTACAGTGTTTATCAGACTGAGTTTGGAAACAGGAAACAGTGCAATAGTTCTGATGAGTCTCTCACACAAACCAAGACTTAAGTTTAACGGTTTCAGACTTCAATAGTTCTGATGAGTCCCTCACACAAACCAAGACTTCATGCAGTTTAACCATTTCAGTCTAACACTGTAAAACATGTGTTGCTTTAATTCATTTAATTTGGAGGTATATTTATGAACAAATCAAAGATAAAAAATATGTTGGTGCATTATATTTGTGAAAATATGGATTTGGTCTGATTGCTAAATGAAGTAACAGCAGAGTTTGTGTATCCTGTGGTGTTTCTGCAGAATGCACCAAGAGAGAAGTCAATCTGGTGTTTCTCTTTGATGGATCCAGCAGTATGAAAACACACGAGTTTGAAATGAACAAAAAATTAATTAAAGATGTTATGAAAAAACTTTCAAACTCATCCATAAAGGTAAAACTGTCCATTAGCCATGAATTTGGAAATATCGACATGCAATAGTTCATAGGATAAATGTGGTACCGTAAACCATACCTGGTACTGTTATCATGGTGTTTAATGATGATAATGTTGTTGTCTGTTGTCTTTCTGTGTCAGTTTGCTGCTGTCCAGTTTTCAACAGATATACGAACTGTGTTTGACTTCAACGATTATCAGAACGGCTCCGCTGAAGAGAAACTCATGAAAGAGAAGCACATGAAATCTCTCACAAACACATATCGAGCAATAAACTACGTTCTGCGAGTGAAACTCTCATATGATTATGAGCATTCATTGAATTTACACTTTGACAGTCTTGAGTCTTGAGATGAACAACTGAAAATTAACTATGGTTCATGCTGTAGTTGTGCTCTCTTTTTCTGGACTATTAAACACACTGTTGCTGAAGTTGGACTTTTGTCATTCTATAAATCAAAGTTTGGCAGAAGCATGTTCAGACAATCAGCTCAATTAGCACGATCATAAGTATTTATACAGCCAACTTACGACAGTTTTCTAGCATCCCTCCTCACTCCTAACTGTTCCTGTCCCAGCGTGGGATATGGGGGAGTTCTCTGGCTGTATTCTGAGCTTGGAGCCTCCCCTCAGACAGCATGCCAAATATACACACTATTCACTCAGTCTGATTATATGTGAGTGTGAACTTATGAAAAACATATTGGCCTAGAAACGACAGGAGCACATTGACTGAGGCTGAAAATTGTTCATATGTCATCATTTCTGATTTATTATATCATCAGAAAGAATCTGCTGAATAACGTGTTGTCTGGAGCCGATCTCAACGCTCAGAAAGCTCTGGTAATCATCACAGATGGAGACCCCAGTGATAATGATGATTATAATGTCCTCAACAGATGTGATGAGCATAATATCCTCCGCTACATCATCGGGGTGAGTTTGCTTGTCATCTCATGTCTTTTTTCAGCCAGTGCAGTTTACGGAGTCACTGTAAGTCAGTCATTGGTAGCTTGACTTCTTAACAATGAAACGCTGTGACTCTGAGACTCTTTCACAACATTCATCTGTTCTTTTGAGCAGCCGGAGATGTTGACATCTGACTCAACCAATCACATGAGTTTGGGGAGAGACTATCTGTTTGCCTGACCAATGACAGATGAGGAGAATGTTCAAAAAAACCGTCTCAGGTTACTTGTGTAACCATGGTTCCCTGAGTAGGGAACGAGACACTGCGTCCTGTCGCCGGCCAACGAGTTGGTGTTTTTTCAATGTATGCTTCAGACACGGGTCACGACGAGGCGTCCCCCATAGCGCCCCTTAGAGGACGCAGTTCGAAGTTCCCATGAAAGGGAACTCTTTATTTGTGCAATTAGATTTTTTGTCACTAGTAATGCAGAAATGACATACTTCAGCTTTAAGTGAGATATACTACATTTTGCTGTATTTTATCACAGATTAGTAGTCTCTTACTAACTAACACTGTCACATCCTTGAGTGGAAAACATTTTTTTTTTATGTAATCAGGTGCACAGAGAAAAACACAGTTTTCAGTTAATCATTAATTTTAATAAATGTTTCAAGTGTTTTTGCACAGTCAGACAAAATGACACATTTGTTTTTCAGGTGGGAAAGGTTGATTTAACTAAACTCACTCAGCTGGCATCAGAACCGAAACAGAACAACACCTTCTAGATTCAAGAGTACAAAGGACTCAAAGGACTTCTTGACAACCTGCAAAAAAAGATCTACAACATTGAAGGTAAAATACAAACATAAAGGAAACTGACACTTACTATAAGTTTACAATAAAAGCAGCTAATGAAGAATCCACAGATGACTCTAAGAGTTTTTTCTTCTGTGTTTCAGGGTCAAAGCAAGCTCACGGCAGAGACAGACAGAGAGAGTTATCACAGAGTGGATTCAGTGTCGTCTACCAGGAGGTGAGAGACATGTCTTATAAAGTAATACCTATTTATATTAAAGGGGTCATATGATGTTGCTAAAAAGAACATTATTTGGTGTAATGAAATGTGTTTATGCGGTTTATGGTTAAAAAAACACATTATTGTATTATAGCGAACTGACAGGATTTTACTGTCTTTGATTTACCGTTTTGATCCAGGTCCTCAAGCACCATTTTGACTAACTTAGTTCATTTCCCGGTTTTACCGCTCATCAGATTCTCCTATTTTCCACACATGTTCCCGTCTTCAGCACCGCAGTCACAGATTTCGTCGCACACAGAGCCGTTCACGTTTGCACTCACGTGACTTGCTGCATGCTCTCATTCACGTCTTCCACATTCATAACCCAGCAACATCGGGTTATTACTGATATCAACCCAAATTGGGTCACATCAAGCCAGCTTCCTAACCCAACAGTCTCAATCGAGCGTTTGGATTGAAACAATTACCAGTGTGTTTTATATGTGTAGGCTATAAAAAGGTACACAGTGTATGTTTTTGCTTAATCTCTTGCAAATATAAGAGGTATACCCTGTAATATTAGAATAGGTACCCCTTAGTTTCAAAATACTTACAGTAGAAATAATTTGTAATTTTACAGATTATTACTCCTTTATTCTCCAAACTTCGCATATTGTTACCTTATACCTACACGGAGGTACTGAATAGGTACACTGTAATTACAAAAAAGTTACGCTGTAAATTCTGTTTACTTACGCAGTACATTGCGGGTTGTAATCTAAAGCGTTACCGAATATTTTCACACAAAATGTTCAAATTAAATTATTATAATCTTAATTCAAGTGAAGAAGGATTCTGAAAGTCTGACAGTAATCAGTGTTGAGTTCTACTGTAAGGTTAACCCTGCCTGGCTTACATGTTTCAAAATGATTAACAGTTGAAAACATTTGTTAGAAATGTAGAAAAGTAATCAAATGTAATCAGTTACATTACTAGATTCGGACTTGTAACCCAAAGGTCGAGGGTTCGAATCTCGGTACAGGCAGGTTTTTGTAATATCCATTATTAAGCATAATATGTCACTGCTGAGACTGAAGCTGAGACTGCAGTGTTTGTTTCAGGACTCTGTGATCGTGGGTTCGGTCGGATCGAATGAATGGCGTGGAGCTCTGTATGAAGTGACGGGATCAGGAGCTGAATTCAGAGAGACGGAGATCATCGATCCAGCTGTAAATAAAGACTCGTACATGGGTATGTTGGGTTTTTTGTTCTTGTGTGATGTGAAGAGTTTGTGTGTGTTTTAATGACGCTGATGGTGTTCAGGTTACTCTACTGTGCTGGGAATGAGACGTGGCGTCTCTCTTCTGTTCTCTGGAGCGTCGCGGGCCGAACACACGGGTCTGGTGACCCTCTTCACCAAGAATGAAAGCACATGGACAGTGATGAGGAACATCAGCGGAGAACAAGTCAGTGAAAAAAATCTCTCTCCACCGGTGAGACCAGAGGCTCCCAAACCTACGGTCCACCAAGAAGATCAGCAGACCCTTCAAACACACACACTCTCATGAGTTTCAGTATTTCACCAAAAACAAACAAGCACAACACTTACAATATAGACTCTGCAATGCCATATCCAACAGAGAGAAGGAGTAAAATAAGTTTACAAAGACCTCTTCAATTTCTAGCCAGTATTGGGTGTCATTGTGTTTGTGAAGCAGAACGTGTTGTTTTCATATTTCATCTGTGAACATCAGGCTATAAAAGCATGTGCTAGAATGCAGTTCCATTCATTTTGATTGATTTCTGTCATCAGATTGGCTCATATTTCGGAGCGTCTCTGAGTCTGTTGGATGTGGACTTTGATGGAGACTCAGATTTCCTTCTGGCCGGAGCTCCATTATTTTACCAGTTTCAGCCGAGGGCTGAAGGGAGGCTGTACGTCTACGCTTTTTCAGAGCAGGTACGCACAGATTCACTATTATTTCACTACTATCAGGGTAACTGTGACTGGAAGGCTGCTAGTCGTCACCATTGTGTTACTCCATTGGGATTGCTGTTGTAATAGGTTCCCATGACGTGAAAGTCGTGGAAATTGTTCTGGTGCTGGTCATGTGCCGATGAATAAAGATTCTGTTTTCTTCTCTTTCCCTCTCCATAGTATTTTCAGAAGACGCTGCACTCAACCACAGGCAGATTTGCTGCGTCTGTGGCTTCACTAAAGGACCTGAATGGAGACGGTCTGTCAGATGTGGCGGTCAGGGCTCCGCTGGAGAATGAAGGAGTCGTCTACATCTACCTGGGTGATGGGACGCATGGCATAAACCCTGAACACACTGCTCAGGTGAGAGTTTGCTGTGCTTCCATCAATCCCAAATGCTGTGCTTGTGCCCACATTTAACCCAGAAACCCAGACAAGGCGATTGTTCACAGATAAACAGACAGACACGCAAGGATAAATGACAAACCACACAATGATGAACCGTTTTGGCACAGTAGATTTCTTAGGCTTTTTTCCACTACCAGTTGTAAATAACCATTAATAACCACCCTGAGGACAGGAGATGATTAGTGTAACTCTCATCAAATCAAATCAAATCACCTTCATTTGTATAAAACTTTTTACAATACAGATTGTGTCAAACAGGGCTGGACTGGTAATCGGGCCGATTTGTTTTTGTGGAGGACCATCACGCAGGGACAGCGAGCAGCCAGTGGCCCATTGGATTGTCTCCTGTATTGACAGCGTAAACCATCCAATCACAATGCGCTATAGACGGAGCGATGAAGTATTTTGCTCCGCCTATATAAAGATCGCTTCACACCAACTTCTTCCTCGTTGACTTTTCCCACGTTTTCACAGCAGCTTTATCAAGAACAGGCTTGCTCTGCGTTGAGTGATGTGGGCCAAAGAGCCAGGCAGGAGGAGAAGAAGAGAGTAGTTAAATCTGTAAAGTGCTTGATAGGGACTCGCAGCGGAGGCAGGCATCTAACCTATCCTAATGTGTGCGCGCGCCATGAGAGTAGAATGCAAAAACACTTTTTAATAAAATTCGTTATTAAAAATTCATCCCCCGTGATTTTTTTTGACCAAGTCAAGTCAAGTGTGTTCATAGTGGTTTCCATGGGCCAATGTGCGAATAAATCTAGATTTAAATTTAAAAAATTATATATTATAATATTATAATATTATATA